CGTTCCTGAGCCGCGTTATAGTATTCCTGTCGCGCCGCCTTTCCCCGATCCTGTCTGGGAGTGTGCCGCTGATGGCCCTCTTTTCTCGTCGCTAGCGTACGAAGACGGCTCGGGAATGTTTGGACCGTCGCCTCTGAAGCTCCGATGTGGATGGGGCGTTTGTTCTTTTGCTCCTAGGTGGCGAACCGTCTTTGGTGAGCCTGTCGCACGCGACTCTCCTATGTTGAACGCTGCAACATATGGTGTCCTGCCTGCCTTCGTTTAGGACGTTCGGCGGGGCCCCATGCTCTCTTATTTTACCTCACCCATGCTGCCCCGTCTGTCCAGTATGAGTTTGTTACTGATTGCCAATATGTGGTTGACGATTGGGCCCTCGGCTGCGAAGCCTCCACCCATGGATGGGCTAAGCACTGCTCCCTATGGGTCCAAGTCCACCGTCTAGCGACTGACATAGGTTATCAGTCACTTCGAGTCACCAAAGTACGTAAGGGTGATCGTAGTGATGCGCACTGTGCTGGGAATCGACAGGCAGACCGACTGGCCAAGCTAGGTGCAGATTTATATGTCCATGACACTGTGCAACAGGATCGTATTAAACGGTCGGATACCCTTGTCAGACATCTAGGCTGATAGGGCACTGCATTGCATGGATTCTCAAGGATGTTCCCAAGAAGGTTTAGGCTGCCGATTCTGATGACACCCAGACTCCAGCTCCCCCCCCCTCCCTCCTCTTGTCAGGATCTGCTGCTGGAGCTATGCATGAGCATTTCTGGGACCCTTCTATAGGGCGGTTTAGATGTGTGAATGGTCGGGCGAGCTCGGCTTCTAAGAGCTACCTCGTGCGTTCCCAAGGTTCCTCACCTACGGGGGGGGGGGAACATTGTCTCCGAAGGTTGCAGGACGCTATGTTCTGTCGCCGCGGTGGGCGTTACTCCAGAAGCACTGCCCAGGACTTGATTAGGAATCGTACTGGGCCCCCTCGGGCCACGGGCACAGTGTCCCGCCCGAGGCTCCTGTGTGCTGGACGTGATCCACGCACTAAGCGCCCGATCGGTGATGTGTGTGTGTGTGTGTGTGCAGTTGACTGTGCCAGCGTCATTTGTGCTTCCCCCCAATTCCACGATGTGCTTAACTTCCAGGCCCTCTTCGACCCAGAACGGTTGCTACGGCCGCTGCTGCAGCCCGATGACTAGTATAGGGGGTTGGCAAAAGGGGGGGTGGGATATCTTGTGTGCTTACCTGTCCGTGTTGCGGGAGTCTCTTGGATACCGACACCCGCGAAGTGCGTATGTTGTAAGACTCTCATTGTTGATTATGTGCTTGTAATTTCCTTTGCCCAGGCTCGCCAAGCGACGAAGAGGTAACCTGCTTCTCTCATTGCTGCGGGCTGAGGGCCTTCTCTGTCAGTCAACCTCTCCAGCCCACAGAGGCTGCCTGGCTGCAAGGATCTCCCCAGCACTGAGGCGCAATGGAAGCAGGCACCCGTGCCGCTTGCGCTTGCGAAGTCCTTGCCTTTGCTCATGTGTGATGTGCGCTGCCCAGGCTCGCCAAGAGAGAAGAGGCTACGCCAACTTCTCTCTCTTTTTCTCTCTCTCTCTCTCTCTCTCTTTGTTTTGCGGGCTTGGATGATCTCTTGCCGCTCTCTCTATGGGGCGACATTCTTATCTGTTTCCCGTCCCTGAGGCTGTCTGACTGCGAAGCTTCCCAAACATTGAGGCGCAATGGAAGCACGCACCCGTGCCGCTTGCGCTTGGGAAACCTCATGCAGATCTGATGTGCCTGTTTCCTCTGCCCAGGCTCGCAGAGAGAGAAAGAACTCTGCTGCTGCCTGGGATGAGGGTTTGAATAATTAGTGGCCTGCGGATGCCTGAGGGGAGGTGAGGCAAAGACCTCCGATGAGCCAGGACTGGGGCAATCAAATCCCCTCAGGCTTCCCCCGCATCACGTTGTAGCATTCGGGCCCTCGCTGTTTCGTGGCCCCTTCTCTTTCGGTCGTGTCCCTCCGCTCGTTGTCTGTGGTTCCTGGGTCCATCCTTCGCTCTTTTCGGCACCTCGGGCCCTTCCGTCGCTCGTCGGCTACGTGCAGGAGTTGTTGTTCTGACGAGAACCCGAAGATCAATAACAAAACCGCATCGTTCGGCTGCGGAAGTCAGCGATTTCTCCTGAAAAAGAGACCCGTCGCTAATCCACGCCCCCTTTATCCATGTTTGCGATCGCCTGATCCAAGGGGCGTTCGGATCGAGTCCCCCCTTTCTCGTCGCATTGCCCCGCTGGGAGCTGCAGGCCCAAGCCGCAGTGCCCCGCCATAGGCGAGACAAGGTGAACGTGAAGGGGCCCTGGGACATACACATAAATACACACAAATAACAGGGCTCCCCATATATTACAATATATTCTGGGCTTTTGTCTTCCTCCCCATTCCCATATTTTACCATATTGTTTGGGGAATCGACGATTAATCGTGTCTATGTGTTTTCCCCTCCTGAGAACGGACTGAACCAGCGGCGTCGCCGGGAAGCGCCTGGCGCCTCGCCCCAGGCTTGTGCCCAGCGACTGCCCTGACTGTGAGTGTCGACCACGATGGACGCTTTCTCTGGGCCGCAAGCAATAGGGGAGCGATAGATAAATGTTCCCCCTCCTTCTCCTCCTCCTCCTCCTCCTCCTCCTCCTCCTTCTCCTCGTACTTATCTCCGCCTCCTCCTCCTCCTTTTCCTCCTTCTCCCCCTGCTGGTCCTCCTCCCCGGTCCTCCTCCGGTCCTCCTCTGGTCCTCCTCCGGTCCTCCTCCGGTCCTCCTCCCCAGGGGGGGGGGGTCCCAGGGGGGAGTCCTTTTCCTCCTCCTCCTCCTCCTCCTCCTCCTTCTCCTCCTCCTCCCCCTCCTGGTCGGCGTCGATTTCTTTCAGGGTCGATGGCACCGGCCGTCAGGCCCTCACGATAGGGGAGCGATGCATGGGGGGACAGCGAGGGCTGACGAGAAGGGGCTCTTCAGGGCTCCTGTATCACGAAGCCCTCTCGGGCCCCAAAGGGGGCCTTGAGGGCCCCCAAAGTGCATCTGCTTCAGAGAACTGCATCTTCCTCTCCCCCCTCCCATCGAGCGACGCCCAACGCGTACGGCCTCCGCGCGCGCTATCCGGGACGGTGGCGCTGGCAAGAGAAAAAGTGGCCATGTCGAAAAAGGGCCCACGAGGAAACAGACCCCGCACCCTGGACCCAGGGGACTCTCCCGCGGACTCTCCCCGATGCAGGAGAGAGGCCCTCCTCCGTCCCTCCTCCCTCCCTGCCTCCTCCCTACCAGCCCTGCCTCCTCACGCCCTCCTCCGTCCTCCATGCGCTGGCTCGACCCCCCCCCCCTCTCTCTCCAGAGAGCTGGCGGAGCAACTCCTCCTGCTGCTCCATATTCTCCCTCATCCCCTCATCCTCCTTCCTCCTCACTCCTCCCCCTCCTCCTCCTCCTCCTCCTCCTCCTCCTCCTCCTCCTCCTCCTCCTCCCTCCCTCCTCTATCTATCGAATAAGGCGCGCGGCAATGTCAGCTCAGCGGCGCCTGAACAGAAACATCAGCTCTCAGGAGCGTCGGGCTATGTCCCCAATGAGGCAATCACTATCGGAACGAGGCTTGGGCTCTATGAAGTGTCGGTTCGCCGTTTCGAATGAGCCGACCACAGAACTTGTGATCCTGAAAGCTGAAATTTGCAACGGTTTCACGAATGGAGTGCGGGCTGTTTTCAAAATGTGGCTCTCGCCGTAGCGACGCGCACATTCTACAAGTTTACAGCAGCTTCACGGATGGAGGGCGGACCGTTTTCACAACGTGGCTCTCGCCATTGCGCCGCGCACATTCGCCTTAACGTTCCAAGAACTGCACGGATGGGTGGGCGGTTCCTTTCCAAAAATGTGGCTCTCGCCCAAGCGCCGCGCACACTTGACCTGAACGTTTCCAACCGTTTCAAGGATTCGTATGGCTGAAGCCCCTGGAATCGTGTTCTGGCACGGTTTCGCATTGTCAGGTCGAGGGGTTGGAGTCCCGAGACCCTAGCCGCCCCGATACGCAACACGCAAACCGTACCGTGTCGACACGGAGCTGAACGCGTAGATCGAACGCGCACGTTTGGCGCTATGCGCTCGCCAGAACGTGGGCCAACACGTTGAGCCAACGCGACGCGTGTCAACACGGACGTTTTGAGCACGGCACGTGCTGCGTTTTCAAAACGGGCGAAATCAGGGCAACGGATCCAAAACATAAGAATCCAGCGCGATTCGGGCATGCCCGGACGCGCAACAGTCGCGTCGATTCGGCGCGCCGACGTCCCAGGCATGGTATTCTCGGGCACGCTCGAGGATTCCCAGACGGCTGTCCTCCAATGGGACACGTCCCGCGACGAACGTACACTTTTCCATGGACCTGTGAAGAGAGAGTGTCCCAAGAGGCCCCCAAGAGGCTCCCAAGAGGCCCCCAAATTGCTCCCCAGAGGCCCCTGAGAGCCTTCCGAAGGGACCCCAGAAGCATCCCTGAGGACTCTGCCCCACGGCAGCGGCGTCGTCGTCGCCGTCTCCGCCGCTGTCGTCGTCGTCCCGCTTCAGGGTCGGCGGCACCAGCCGTAAGGCCTTCGCAATCTTCTAGGGACCTGTGCAGAGGGAACATGGAGGGAGGGTGTATTGCAACATCGTTCATGCGCTTTGGGTTGACACTGGTCCCTCCCACCACCTCCTCCTCCTCCTGTCTTACGCTAGGCCAGCATGGGCGACGAGGCTGTTGCGTTCTGCCTCCTCCTCCTCCCTCCTCCTCCTCCTCCTCCTCCTCCTCCTCCTCCTCCCTCCTCCTCCGTCGCTCCTCGCTCCGCTCCTCCTCCTCCTCCTCCTCCTCCTCCTCCTCTCCCTTCCTCCTCCTCCTCCTCCTCCTCCTACTCTTGCTCCTCCTCCTCCTCCGACGACGACGACGACGACGACAACGACGACGACCCAGCGGCAGCGGCGGCTCCGACGCCCACCGCCCCCAGCGGCGGCCTGCGGGCCAGCTCCGCTCTCCACTCTGGCGACGGGCGGCCGGAGCCGGAGAAGTGCCGCTGGTCCGGCTGCTCTTCGCTGTCGAACGCGAAGCTGCCGGCGGGCGGGCGTCGTCGTCGTCGTCATCATCGTCATCGTCGTCGTGGTCGTCGTCGTTGTCATCGTCGTCGTGGTCGTCGCCGTCGTCGTCGTCATCGTCGTCGTGGTGGTCGTCGTCGTCGGAGTCGTCGTGGTCGTCGTCGTCGTCGTCGGCGGCGGCGGCGTCGTCAGAGGAGGAATGGGTTGGAATGGGATGGAATGGAATGGAACGGGGTGGAATGGAATGAAGCACTTCGCGATGCGAAATAATTCCTGATTGGCTAATTGGATGCCTTGGTACGGTTAGCCGCCTGATCCTTGGGCGGCCATGAGGCGAAGGAGGAGGAGGAAGAGACAGAGGGATGATGCTGGAGGAGGGGGACGCAGGAGGAGGAGAGAGGACGCTGGGTAATACAAAGGATGGTGGAGGTGGGGGGGAGGAGGGAAGAAGAGAAGGGAGGAGGACGAGGCAGGGCGAGCGGGATGAGAGATGGGAGCAGAAGGAGGAGGAGGAGGAGGAGGAGGAGGAGGAGGAGGAGGAGGAGGAGGAGGAGGAGGGGGAGAAGGAGGAGGAGGAGGAGCAGCAAGAGAAGGAAGAGCAGGAGATCGTAAGAATCGTCGTCGTTGTCCTTCTCTTGTTCCCCCTCCCTCCCTGCTCCTCCTCCTCCTCCTCGTCCTCCTCCTCCTCCTCCTCTTATGCTGGTCTGGCTGACGGCCGTGGTCGAACGCGAACGAAGCGGGAAAAATCGTCGTCGGCGATGTCCTCCTCCTGCTGATGTTCCTAATTTTCCGTGCGCGTGAGCGAACGGGGCGAGGAGGATGGACGCTGGGGGATGAGGAGGAGGGAGGATGGAATAGGAGGAGGGCATAACTAGTTATTGGCATGTTTCGCTTTGTTTGCCCATTTGGGGCCCTTTGGGGGAACCCTACGGGCAAGAGATCTCCCGAGAACATCTTGGCATCATGATTTTGTTGTTACGCACCGCGACCGCACTTACGACCACCACGTGAAGAACGATGACACTGGCGACATTGAAACTGGGGAGTCGATGTGCAACCATATCGCAGGACAGTCCTCGCGCTCGCCTCGCAGGTGAGTCGACGACGCGGGCGCGGCCAAACACATGAAGGAGGGATACGACGAAGCACAAACTATGAACACACAATCAAAATCCCAAACCCAGTCATGCGAAGTGGGGTGATCCAACCAAGCATGTGGGCTGAGGAGGTTTAGCGATATCTTTCTTTCCTTTTTCACAAACCTCTTCCTTTCTGGGAGGTTTACCTCCCCCGTGCACTTGGGCTATGGTGGCCTAGCGATATCCTTCTTTCCCATTCCAAGAACCTCTTCCTCTCCGGGAAGTTTACCTCCCCCCTCCCTGGTTTTGTTGGGCGGTCTCGCGATCGGTCAGGGCGCCCAAGATGGCCCCAAATGGTCTCGGCGAGCTGGCGCAAATCAATGTTTTGCTATGGTGTTGGCTTGTTTTGCTATGGCCGCACGGGGGGCAAATCGATGACCCCCCACCTTTGATCGATAGCCTCCAAAATGGCCCCAAGATTCCCCCCAGGGCTCCCAAAGGACCCCCAAGAGAGCCCCAAGAGGACCCAAGAAGGCCTCCATCCAAAAGCTCCAACAGGACCCCAACACCCCCCAAAACAACCCAAAGATAGCTCATGGCTCAAGATAGCCGACGATGGAGGCGCGTTTGAAGCCTCAAGGTGGCCCGAGAGATGCCCAAGAGGGGCCCAAGAGGCCCCCCCAGACGGCTCCAAAAGCGCCCAAGATGAGCCCAAGAGCGCCCACAGAGAGTCCAAGGCGGGCCCCAAGAGGCGATTTGGATAGCCCCAGGGAGGGTACTAAACGTTACGACCCCCTTTTTCTTTTCACCGGCGTCATCCACGATAGCCCGAAAAGGCCCTCCAGGGCTCCCAGCACGCCCTTAAGACGGCCCCAAGAAAGTGTCCGATGCTTCAAGATGGCTTCCAAGATGGCTCGAGGTAGCCGACGATGGTTCAAGAAAACTTCCGGCATACCTCCAAGAGACCCGACGAAGGCCACAACACTGTTCCACGTGCTCTCGAAGCCCAAGTGGGGACCGACCAAAAACCTAAATTGTTCAAACACCCAAAGAATATCCATCATGTTTGACGACTCGCCTTTTCACTCCAGCTGCGCTTTTGAAGTCTCAAGATGGCCCCATGAAGGCCCAAGGAACACCCAAGAGGGGCCCAAGAGTCCTCCCAGACGGCCCCATGAGCGCCCAAGAGCGGCCCAAGACAGCTCCAAGAGGGCCTCAAGAGGCGATTCTGATGGCCCAGGACCAGGAGGAGGAGGAAGAGGAGGAGGAGGAGGAGAAAGAGGAGGAGCGGCATGCAGAAAGTCCGCGCCCGTGAAAGGCTGCCGCAGAAAAGCACCGAAGCCGGTTCTCGCACGCACTTCTCGCAAATCTGAATATGATGACGTAGTGGTTGTATGATCAAGGAACATGAGCATCAATATGTCCAGCGTTTGTGAGCCCGTCACTGCTGCCGCTGTCCGGATAGGGGTCCACTGCAACAGTCGGCGGGCCCACCGACTACCTGCGGCATGCTCGGTGGGCTGTCTCAGCCTTTCTTTGCCCTTCTGCTGCGCATGCACCCAATCTCTCAATCGAGACAGGACAGGACAGGCGCCGATGTGCGCCCCGGGGGGCGGCCCTCCAAGAGCTCGGCGGGGGTGCCGGAACGCCGAAGATCTGATGTCGTGGCAATGGTTACTTCACGATTTCGAATGTGTACTACTGGCCCCATTGATACAATCCTTCCCATGAGTTTGAACAAGCAACGTCATGAAAAGAAGGGGCGCGTTTGCCTCACATACTTTTGTGCGAAGCCCATCACCTCGGCCATAATTAGTGCAATGTGTGTGTATCAATTCCATAGGCTCGTCTGTCTTGCTCAGCCGGTCTCCAGTCCAATTTTGAAATTTGTCGCATACACCCCGCCAGAGACAATATCGATGTATGAACTCATAACGCTGCTCCACGTCCGCCCTCGACAACTTCGCGCGGTTTGACTTGGGAAATGTTGATCTGCATTCCACCATTTGGTTCCCAAGCTTTTCCAGCACCAGGTCTATGCAATTTGTTTCGTCCTCCGCATCGATGAACAAACCGATTTGTGTCTGAATACTCGAGATTCGACCGTGAATTGCGGCCTCCGCCCCCTTGATCGTTTCATCTTCAATGGCTTTGCGACTCGCCTCACAAGAAGGGGCGCCGTCTCGACCCTGTCTACCACTGCTGGGCAAGAGCGCTTAGCATGATGACTGTCTGCTCTGCGATCTTTGTCACAACGACAACCTTGGGAACTTCGACATAATTCTCGACGTATTCAAATTATGGTACCTCAACATTCCAAGTCGTCCCTTGCATTGCTACGGTCGGTTCAATTGGCAGGGTGCTGACAAGATTGCTTGGCCTGCACCTCTGCGCGCAAAGCGTGGGGCTCGATATTCAACTGGTCATTCAATGTCGCGTCCAGCTGTTCCACGATCACTTATGCGAACTTTCTGCGTTCCCGTCGCGGGTCCAGTCTGTATTGCCATCACCTTTCCAAACACACATCTTTGCTGCTCGACGTTTCGGTTCATTGCTTTTTTGGGCCCATGCCGTGGCACAGATGCATCGAATGAAAGGGATGATTGTTGACTGCTTGGGCATGAGCCTCCCTTGAACCAATTTCCCATTGCTTCTCGCTAACACGCCGCCTCCGCTTTGTGCGTCGCCCTGTTGACCCAATCTACCAATGGTTCCAACATCTCCTCCCCGTCGCCGGCCACGACGTTACCACGGGCAGAACGGACCACTCTTCGAAGCATGCGCCTCCGTTCTGTCTGAAGACGATGTTTCTCTCACCGCCGTCATCGTCCACGCGCCACTGCCATGCAGGACGGCAGAGGTCACGACACTATCGAATAATTTCAGACGGGGCCTTCGGGAATAATGCTGGCCGCACAATTCGTCACGGAACTTGCCAAATGCAGCCTGTCCCCGGCCAGTTCTGTGAATAATCTCAGCGTCCTGGAAGTCAGCAAAACTTAATTGCCACCGGAGGTATCTTACACTGGCTACTAAAAGGGAAGACTTCCACGATTCCGCATCCCATCTGCACGTGCGATTGCCTCAAACCGCACTTCCTATTTGAGTTTTGGACAGCAAGTTCGTCCTGCCGGGATGCATCTTCAAGCCCGCCTTCAACGCTGCCTCTCTCAAGTCTTCCAACAGGTGCCACACTTCAACACGAGTCGAACCCACGAACAAAAAGACCGTCGGCAAATCTCAAAATAGTTAAGCAGTCAACATCCAGTATCACTCCGTAACATTTGGTCCTCAATTAATTCTTCAGCTCGCGCATGATCTTCAAGAACAGCATTGAACAAACGTGGGCTCATCGGATCGCCCTTCTTCGTGCCACGCTGCAAAAGGAAAGCGCGACTGGCGCGGTCGGACACAATTTGCCACTACAGCTGCCACTTCAGTTTCGTCACATGCAGTGCCGAAGTGCTGTCATATGTTACTCTCGCTTCGCAACTTTCGCCCCTGCTAGCATCCAGCCTTTGGCTGGGCATGGCCGCGCCGGCATCTTCCATGTGCATGTACGCATCGGTCTTTGTCTTGCACGCGATTGCCACGCTATGTCCACCCGTCTGGTACGCCACGTGGAAATTTGCCCAAACGTGGCCTGGCTCAACACTTCGCCACGGTGCCGTCAAGTCGCCGCTGGAGGAAAAAGAGTGTCTCTGTGTGTTGTTTCAAGAGGCTGTGCTGATTCGCGCGACCTCGACAAAGCACGTCCACAAGACCTTCGTCTTCGATTGATCCTCCTCGATCCTCATGGGTCCACTCGTCGTCGTCGTCGTCGTCGTCGTCGTCGTCGTCGTCGTCGTCGTCGTCGCGCCGTCGTCGTCGTCGTCGTCGTCGTCGTCGTCGTCTTCGTCGTCGTCGTCCGGCGCGTGGGCAGCGCCCGCGCG